TAGGCAAACACTTGTCAGCGTTTCTGTTCTCTTAAGTGGATGGTTATCCGCCTTCACAAAACTGATATGGTCAATTCAAATCTAAGTATGCTCAAATGTCTTCTCCTGATGAAAATTTGCTGGAGGTTTTGACACATGCTGATAGTCCTATTGAACAAAACGTTATTCGTTTTATCTGCAGGAAATGCAAACGCCTCTCGAAGAGTCAGATGACCGATCACATTTCATCTTCAACGAAGATGGAATTGTGATCGTGTTGGTTTGATGTAATGTATTGTGGAACTGACGATTCTATTCTTCATTCTCGATGTTTGATATCATCCAACTGGTGAACTAGGTGAAGAGAGGTTATTACTGTTAGGAGGCATCACTTCATCATCCCCTATAGTGTTCGAAAGCCTAAAAGATGATGTCAACATCATCTGGAATCTGGAAGACCTTAATCACTGTCGATTTCCTCTGCTGTCCGACCCTGGGTGAATTTACGAATGCGAATACTGGACATCTACTCTCCAAAAGTGAGATCTGACGTCCGACACGAAATAAACCGCAGCATGGTATTCTAGAAACAAACCAACAAATAAGCAGTTTTATAACAAATATGTGGAGAATACAAATACGGACAAAAAACGGATTGTAGACCGCTTGTTATTTCAACTAATGGCTTAAAACTAAACGCCCTTGTACAATGCACTAATTGAAGCCAAACAAGGCTACAGATCAAACTATGTATGATCAACCGTTTGTGCAGAGCAATCATGCCGACGATTTCCGCATGTGATCCGAATCGGTCACTTTCATTCCCATATATATATATATATATATATATATATATATATATATATATATATATATATATATATATATAGTTATATATATAGTTAACTGTGCTGAACTATATTTCATGTTGTCTTATTGTATAGTTGTCGTCGCTTTTTGCCCTTTTTCTGTGAACTGTTTCCTTTGTTGATGTTGTTCTCATTGTTTGTCCGTTATTTTCTGATTTTGAGGGGAGCAACCCAAAAAGTTGCTTCTCTCTAAACTTTTACTTAATGTAATCATTCTTTTCTCAGGCGTGAGGCTAGCAACCCCACCCTGTAAACAAAAATTGCTAAAGAAACTTCAGTATGTTGAACCTCCTTGCACCAAAAGAAAAAGTCTGTGTAGGAACATGGAACGTCCGAACTATGTACGAGACTGGGAAAGCTGCCCAGATCGCCAACGAGATGAAAAGATACGGAATACAAGTGCTGGGAATATGTGAGAGCAGATGGAATGGGAGTGGACTCACCAAATTGTCAACAGGTGAGTCAGTGATCTACTCCGGTCACCCAGAAGATAACCACACGCACACCGAGGGCGTGGCTATCATGATGTCACCAACGGCAACGAAAGCCCTGATACAATGGGAGGCGATTTCGTCCAGGATAATGACCGCCAGGTTCAACTCCAAAGGAAGGAAAGTGTCAATCATACAATGTTATGCACCCACAAACAACGCAGACCTCGAGAAGAAAGAAGAATTCTACAGGCAACTACAGGCAACAATGGACAATACTCCAGCTGGCGACATGAAAATACTAATGGGAGACATGAACGCCAAACTGGGACCAGACAATACGGGAAGGGAACTCATCATGGGTAGAGAAGCTCTAGGAGAAATGAATGAAAACGGAGAACTCTTCGCCGACTTCTGCGCCTTCAACGAACTGGTGATTGGTGGCAGTGTATACAAGCACAAAGATATCCACAAGGCTACATGGGTGTCACCAGACGGGCAAACCAAAAACCAAATCGACTTCATCTCAATCTCAAGGAAGTGGAGGCGCAGCCTACTGGACACAAAAGCAAGAAGAGGAGCAGACGTTGGCTCAGACCACTATCTCGTACAAGGGACAATCCAAATCAAATTAAAAGCTTTCAGAGAAGGAGGAGCTGCAGATAGACCACAAGCCAAGTTCAACACTCAAAAGCTGAAGGACCAGGCTACAAAGGACATCTTCATTGCAAGCATAAAGGACAAAGCCGAGACACAAATCAACACTAGCGAAGAGGTCGGCGTTGAAAAGCACTGGAACAACTTGAAAACGGTGTGGAGCCAAACCTGCATAGAAATTCTAGGCAGAAAAAAGAGACAGGACAAACAGTGGCTCACTACGGACACTTGGAAACTAATAGAAGAGAGAAGGACAGTGAAGCAAAAGATTATCCAGTGCACGGACGAGCAACAAAAACAGGAGCTGAATGCAAGCTACAATACACTGAACAAAAGAGTGAAGAAAAGTGCCAGGGAAGACAAAAGAAAATATTATGAAACCATGGCAAACGAAGCAGAACAAGCTGCAGGCAAAGGAGACCTCGCCACACTCTACCAAACAACTAGGAACCTTTCGGGCAAACGTTCGACACAGATTAAGCCAATAAAGGACGACAATGGAAAGTCAATCACCAAAGAGGTGGAACAGAGAAAGCACTGGGTTGAACACTTCAAAAGACTTCTAAATCGTCCGCCACCTACAACACGTCCAGCAATACCAACAACGGAAGCAGAACTACCAGTGAACACTGACCCCCCGACGAAATCAGAAGTCCTGAATGCAATCAAGATGCTTAAAGCTGGGAAAACACCGGGACCAGATGGAATCCCAGCAGAGGCTTTGAAAATAGACCCAGAGACAACAGCGGACTTGATGACACCACTGCTGGAGAAGGTGTGGAAAGAGGGCAAAGTACCCGAGGATTGGAAGAACAGTTACTTATTCAAACTTCCAAAGAAAGGAGACTTAAGTCAATGTAAAAACTGGCGTGGAATTATGCTTCTGTCCATTCCAAGCAAGATACTAAGTCGCATCATCCTGGAGAGAATCAAACAAGCCCTAGATGAAAAACTTCGTCCGGAACAGGCTGGATTCAGGAGAAACAAATCATGTATTGATCAAATCGCCACTCTACGGATCATCATTGAACAAAGCTTGGAATGGCAGTCACCTCTCTATCTCAACTTCATCGACTTTGAAAAGGCCTTCGACAGCGTCGATCGAGAGGTCATTTGGAAACTACTTCGCTACTACGGGGTCCCATCGACAATTATACACCTCATCCAACAGTTATACGACAATGCTGCATGCCAAGTAATCCACAACGGGAAACTTACGGAAGCCTTCGAAGTGAGGACGGGAGTGAGGCAAGGCTGTCTACTATCACCAATGATCTTCCTGATTGCAATTGATTGGATAATGCGACAGACAACGGCAACCAACGAGGGAACAGGCATAAAATGGACTGACACAAAAGACTTGGAGGATCTGGATTTCGCCGATGATATATGTCTGATTTCCCATAAACTGGAAGATATGCAAGTGAAAAGTAACAAGTTGGCAGAAGAAGCATCAAAGATAGGACTTCACGTGAACATAGATAAAACAGAGATGATGAAGATTCCTAGCCAACATCAACAACACCAACAGACCACAATAAGCATAAATGGGAAGAACCTGAAAGAAACAACCTCCTTCACCTACCTGGGAAGCATCGTCTCAACTACAGGCGGAACTGACGAGGACATCAAAGCCAGAATCGGAAAAGCAAGACAAGCTTTCATTACTCTCAAATCTGTGTGGAGGTCAACAGCAATCAGCATCAAAAATAAGATCCGGATTTTCAACTCCAATGTGAAGTCAGTGCTACTATACGGATCAGAGACTTGGCGAGTCATAAAGAGCATCTCAAACAAACTTCAAACCTTCATTAACAACTGTCTCCGCTCAATACTCAAGATCAGATGGCCAGAAAAGATCAGCAACAGGGATCTCTGGGAGCGAACCAATCAGGAACCGATTGTGAAACAAATAGGCAGAAAGAAATGGAGATGGATTGGCCATACGCTGAGGAAACCATCAAGTGACATCACTAGACAAGCCCTCGAGTGGAACCCGAAAGGGAGGCGGCGAGTTGGTCGTCCAAGGGTGACTTGGAGGAGGTCATGCGAGGAGGAGATGAAAGCATGTGGATAGACCTGGAGCAGGTTGAAAAAGTTGTCAGAAAACCGAAGTCAATGGAGGTGCGCAGCTGAAGCCCTATGTTCCTCTAGGAACTAAAGGATACAATAATAATAATATATATATATATATATATATAGCATGTTTTTCAATCGAATTTCATTTATTCACACGAATTTCTTTTCAGAGATTGAATTATGTTTGAAGTCGGATGTCGGATTGACATGAATTAAAAAGCAGTCAAAACGCCCCTGGGAGTGTTGAACACCCACGTCGTCATCTTAGTATTAGACTCAATGGCAATACTGTGTCGGCTCAGTACTTGGCAAGTATGGCCTTCCGGTTACAAGAAAGGCTTGATCGTTAACACTACAGCCAGTGGGATCCGACTCAGCGGCATATTACGCATAATTTATAGCTGCAACCGCACACAATGAATGCGTACTGCCAATACGATCGTATCAATAATGCGCATTTCAATCTTTTCGGGACTCCCTGGCTAGATATACAAGATTGCAGTGCTTTCCTCAGAGAGATTTCCAACGTATTACCCATCGTTTCAAACGTGAATTCATTATCCACTAGACCACTTAGGCCACGACAACCACCACCTATAATGCAAAAAGCATCAAGCGATTCGTCAGATCTACGGCTTGCTACCATCCACCAAATTATTTCTTGTAATATCTAGTTGATGTGAAATGATGGGTATGCCCGTGTAAAATACATTTTCCAACCTAAATCATATATACGTGCAGATTTAGACAATAATCTCAGCAGTGAGCTAAAATTTGCATATCGTTTCCAAATATCATCTCTACTTTGCGTGTGGCCCCCTTTGAACCAAAATGTAACTGAATAATGGTTCATCGCACACACACATGAACAAACAAATGCTGTCAATTTTTGATTGGTAGGTGGAAGTAATCAATGAGTGAATTGGTGTCATCTACTAGTGGTATAAATAGTCCTTCAAAATTTGCTTTCAGTGTCACGTTATAAAGCGACTATTCAGCATACACTGCGGGTGAGTTCCAGTGGTATGTATATAATTATTTATGATATATTATGTAATTTGTAACAAACGCTTGATAACGATTCACACTGTCGTTTCCAAAAGACATTATATATATATATATGAATGTCGCAGAGATTGTATCTAGACTTCACCCGTTCAAGCACTTATATCAGCCCGTTCTTAAGTTACAATTGATCATATCTAGTATTGGGCAGAGTAGAACCCAAAGTAACTATACCTCAAGCAATCTGTACATTCACGTTGAATAATAGAATCCCATAGACGAAGTGACTTATCAAGTTCTCTGCGTAATATCTCTGCACTTCATTATTCTGTCTGTTTATTCTGAGTTCCTATTCAGTAAGTCTACTTAACATATTCTGTTGACATTGTATAAAATTCATAAGAGTTTGTTCAACATTCTGCTGGATTTGTCAATAAGTGCTATTCTATAAATATCAAACGAGTAAGTCATCACTGAATATTTTTCTTCCTTAATTCATGGAAGGGATTTACGTGTTCTCTGGACAAAGCAGTTACGAAATACAGAGGTTCAAACTGACCAGGCCCTCGCATAATTGCATCTCTCATTTGGATGGAGGTTCATCAGTTGCGTTCATCAGGGCTTGACTCAGCTGGAATGGTCAAATAAGCTAGAAATTGGAATGCTGCTTGTTTCTGCCTTAGACGAGTGAGGACAGGTTCGCCACTGATGATTTAAGATTCAAATGAGAGTGACGACCGTTGCGTGTGATGATCACATCAATCTACTAATGATTGATGTCTGTCTGTGTTTGTGTGACATAGAACTATCCATCTCAATCAGTCAGTAGTATACCAGGTCATGCATATATGCTTGCCTTTTTTGATTCAGACTGTCTAGCGAACCACATATTACACTGTGAATATTTTCTGCCTTCAAATAAAACCGTGGTTCGATTTCACATTGTTGGACTGTGTAGAATTGACTTGCAAATTTGATTCACTGAAAATTCGAGTTGATCAGCATCATAAAAGTAGACCGCATACTCTGTAACAAATACCCAACTAACCTGTTCAGCATACTATAATGAAGAATGCTATTCATGCCTCTTGCACGTCAGGCCATCGCTTGAGTTGTGCTTGGGTCTGACGATGCAATTAATGCCATCGTGCGGACTGAAGAAGATGAGAGATAGCATGCAGTCATCTGGCTATACCACAGCGGACACTAGAGAAGAGCAAATTGTGAGATGTACTTTCGAATCTGTTTGTCTCACTCGGAATACAAACCAACTGGAAAAGGCACTCACTGTCATGCATTTCACATAGCATCAAATGGAATGTCATTCTTTTTCCCACTGATTATTTCATTTTAGTGAAATGGTCTCCCATAGGACAAAATTTAACATTATCCTACTCATTGGTCTGTTCATTGTCAATAGTGAAGTGAGCGAATCAGAAAAACAGCCATTTGACTTCACACTTGATGACTCAGGTAATTCAAATTTATTCTGTGTGTAAATGACTGAACTAATAATGTATTCACCGGTTATCCCGCTTCCCAATAAATCGCCTCTGTAAATAATGATACTCCTCACTAATTATTGACTGACTGATTGCAGGATACGTTACCTGCGATTCTGGTGAGAATAGGTGACCACTATGCGAACATATACTCACCGATGATGAGATGCAGTGAGGCTAGCACTGGCGTTTCCCCAAATGATATCATTTGAAGATTAATATTCGATTTCCCAACGATGTTAGAATGTTTCTCTTTATTCAGCATGATGGTTAACACAATCAATAGTTACATGGGAAGCCACATGTCACGTGATTAACAATCGAGAATCTAGAGAAGCTTGCCTTCTGTGTGAAGACAGTAGTTAGATGAGGATACCCGCCAGCTTTCACGAATGCCATTGCTCGTCGTGATGGCTAGGCAGCATCCGTTCAACTACAGGCAGCTGTGATTCATGAGGATGTCAGTAGCAGAATCGTGATTTCATCGCTGATCGTTCTCACTATGAAATCAGTGTGGAGGTTGACAATGCATCACTTCAGCACAAATAACAGTGTTTGGATTTCGAACACCGGTGTTTAGACAGAGACATCTTCTATATGAGTCAAGAAATTGGCGAACACATCACGACAAATACTTCGAACAACCAGCTGCAGCCGTTTCTCAACAACTGCATTTTATGTCCATTTACTGAAGATATGATGGTGCTCTTGAAATGATTTGGAAGATGAAATTGTTGGAACAAGCCAACGAAGAACCAATTGTTAAACCATATGCAGAAGGAAATGGACACGCGCTGAGGTCAGCATACATGAAATGACAATATGTGCATGTTTTGATTGGACACTAGTAACTAATGTGATGCGTCTAGTCCTCTCATTGGTACAGACTGAATTTTATCGGTCAGGTTTAAATGTAGCCACCATTCTAAGTAGCTCGCCGTCACGGTGCACATTGATCAGATGGTATTAGATGGATAGAGGCAATTGCAGGAAGCCTTCGACCTAGGTTTCGTGCTAGTTGCTACTCGTCAGCAGGGCGTATCTGCAACCTTGAAGTAACTTATGTCATGCCCCCAATCATCTAATACCATCTAATCAATATGTGCATGTGTCAGGGGTTGCCATGGCGAGGAGAACAACACCAAATGGAACAATTCTTAGTTGTTCTGTTAAAGGCATATCTTCGACGTGGAACGCAAGAGAACAATACTAATCATAGCAGTGGTTGCGGTGAGCAAGTATTCAACGTGACAGTAACGAATGGCTTTATTTCAATGTCTAGCATACTGTCTTGTGCAAGCTCGTATATCTTATCAGGCAATGTCGGCGATAATATATTTTGCATCACGATCAACCAGCTGGTTTACTTTTTTAAATTCAGCAGTACACATTTGACGTTCAGATATATTTATATTTGTCAATTCACATATAATGGACAAACTAAGCAACCTACTCTCAAACTTTCATCCATTACTTGTATTTGTCTCAATGTGTTGTCGAGCATATTGACCGACCATACAACTATTAGTCAAATTTTTGAACTCAGGACAATCTACGTCAGTCAATCGATAAAGACCTCACATATTTTTTTCATTTGACTGCACGAAAGTTCCGAAATATTGAAAAGGCGAATTCACTGAATTCCTGCAAGTTCCTGCACACTGATTCTTCGAATATGACATATCCTGCACGTGGAGCATGATAAAGTGAGACTCTTTTATTTCCTTAGTAATCTGTTGACCAGGATATTTCCAGTATGAACCAGAAAATGCTCATCAACAGGATATTAAAATGATAGAAAGCAAAAATAAGCAAAGACAATTTCATTCTCACAAGCTGTGCAAACGCATTAATTGATTGCGGAATACTAGGTGTGGACCACTCTCAAGTGACACCACGTATTGACACGAATCTGGAAAGCTGATGAAAACACGGAGACTCGCTATGAGTTTGTTTCGTCAGCCTAGTTTGAAAGTAATCAGCAGTTCTCTCTCACTACAGCGTTTCGAAATCAGGACGTTTTGGTTACTTAGCAAGCCAGCTCATATAACATTCAGACAGTGTGGCCTGGCTCAATCCCCACTATGTGTGCTCGCTGATGACCGGCCGAAAACTACTATGAGACAACGGGCTGTTCAATACTCCCTGCTTGTTTTCTTTTCTATTCTAACTGATATCGAACAATAGTCAAACTAAAATATTTGTTAGCATTGATGATTTATTAGATGTTGTCTCGGTCACTGACTAGACAACTAGCATACCGTAGGTGTCATCTAGCTGAATGTTCCTTGCTTAGATCCACTCCAAAACAAATCATTGATCTATATTCAGGATGCCTCCTCACTATTCAATCTGTCCTTAATACTGTACAGTTACAGATAAGAGATATATTTTCCAGTGATATCGTTTACTTTGCAAGATGTTTCAATATTCGCGGAATGGCCATGGACTAACAGACGTCTTCTGACGCAAAATGGGCCATTATTGAGGGTAGGAAACAATTCTGTATTTCTGCGCGATATGATTCTACGACTTTCGAATTCCCACCATCATTATTATTTCACTTGGTTCAAGAGGTAGGTCTACTTGTAGAGATTTCCAAGATTTCCAGTAAATCATGAAAATGTGTCTTCGTTTTTTTTATTTTAAGGAGTAAAGACTATTCATTTTCCGCCGGTCACGTTTTCTTTGCATCCTAATGGAACACTGACAGTTAAAACTTTGGACTGTACATGGGAAGTTGACTTGGGTGGACTATCAAGTGTAGAGGTTGGCGTAACTGGAGTAACTCGTCACGGTTCCTTGTGAGTCTTCTTTCATAAGTGACATAATTCATAATGACAACATAAATATGCTCACATAATTCTCAAGAATGCGAGGTATGTTTACGAGAAGGCCTTCTATTCTATAGAAAACTGAGTCTTCTTTGAATCGTTGTTGACTTGAGTGTAGAGTGCAAATGAACAAATAAAGGTGTTAATAACAATACCAACAACCAGGTCAGGAGAGGGAGAATGAATTTAGATGTGTGTTTGTGTAATCAATCGATTCTGCAGACCTCAGTGTATTCGGTGGAGTACAAAATAATACTTTTCATCAACAGCGTCGGAATAAGTTGCTATTGGAAACTGATATGTTTCGAAACTTTGTTCATTCTCAATTTCTATCTTGGCTTTGCATCATCTTTCATATTCTCCCGAGGCTTATTTTACTCATTTTGCCGATGAACAAGCAACCTCTTTCTCAGTGCCTTCTACACTGCATCCTACTCACAGGAATTGAATCTTATCTGAAGTTAGCAAATAGTCTCACTCGAAAATGTCCGCAACCAATTACATCTAAATGTCACCGAGTTTGCTGATTTCAGTGAGCAAGACTCGACCAGATTGATTGTTTTATTCTTGACAGCACTGTGGAAGTGAGAAAACTGAACACCTCTTGTATCCGCTACCGTCTATTTGAATCTCTGTAAGTCGTCTCACTTCTTGTCGATTTCTAGGGAAATATTTCGTCTGACTAATTTATCAATTCATGTATTCTGCTCATTCTTCTTCATTGTTCGACTAACTTATTCTTCCGTGGACATCGCTTAACTTTGGAGTGAACGTATTTCATCTGGTATCGAACATCCTCTTTACTATACACAACTGTCTACTTTATTATATACGAGTGTGAAAGTGAAAAGATAAATTATGCTGGTGTGGGCATTAAACCTTATTAATTTTATCATTATTATTGTTTCCTGGAGAAAAATAAGGCTTCAGCCGCACGTCTTTATTTCGTTCGCTTCTCTACTAAATTTTCCACCTGACACCACGTCTGCCCACATGCTCTCATTGCCTCTACACATGACCTACGCCCTGCCACCCTCGCACTGACGACCGAATCGCCACCCTTCTTTTGAGTTCCACTCGAGCAGTTGCTTGGTTTGTTATGTGACTTGTTGGTTTTCTAAGAGTGTAGCCAATCCACCTCCTCGACTTCCTGCATATTTGTTGCATAATCGGTTCCTGATTGGTTTGCTGCGAGAGATCGTGGTTGCTGATCTCTTCTGATTATTCGATCTCGAGAACTGAGCGAATTATGTTACTGATGAAGGTTTTGTTTATTGTTTGAAGTGTTCCGAGTGATGAATGAAGTCTCTGAGACTTCAAATTTGGATCTGATTTTTTATGCTGAGTGCCGTTGACCTCCACACAAACGTCTGAGAATTGAAAGCTTGCCTTGCTTTCCTGATCCTCAATTGGATATCCTCATCAGTTCTGCTTGTACTTGAAGCGACACTTCACTGGTTGATAGGTGAATGAGGTTGGTTCTTGCTGATTTCTCGCCTTTGTGCTTCTTATTGTCTGTTGTTATTGCTGTTACCTTGGACTAGGAACGTCAACACCTCTGTTTTCTCTATGCTCACCTGAACGCCTATAATTTCTGGCCTGTCAAAATTTTGCTTTTCACTCACATATCTTCTCATATGTCGTAAATCAGACATATATCACCGACGACGTCCGAATCCTCCAGGGTTTCGTGTTGGCACATTAAATGGCTGTTTCATCACTGCATGCTTTCTGTTACTTTATCCAGTCTACTGCAATCAAGAAAATCATTGAAGATATTAGGCGACCAGCTTGTCTTTCTCCTGTTTTTACTTCTTTGAGGGATTCTATGAGCTTCTTGTTATGGATTACTTGGCATGCAGCGCTGTCGCACAACTGTTGGATGAGGTGTTCAATTTCTGACGGCACTCCATGGTAGTAACAAAGTTGTTTCTGAATCAACTCTTGATCGATGCTGTCAAATGCCTTTTTAATAACGATGAAGTTGAGATAGAGACCTGACTGATAGATCAAGCTGTATTCACTGATGACGCGAAGTGTTGTGCTTTGATCAATGCATGATCACTTAATCCTAAAAACCTGAATGTTTCGTCGACGTTTTTCATCCAGAGCGCGTTTGATTCTCTGCAGAATGATGCGGCTTGGTATTTTGCTAGGGATGAACAGAAGCATACTGCTACGCCAGTTCTTGTATTGTCCTAAGTCTCCGTTTTCCGGTAGTTTGAATAAATATCCTTTCTTCTAAGTCACAGGGAACTTGCCTTATTTTCTAACGTATTATCGTATTGAGGTTATCAGGTCCGCTTATGTCTCTAGGTCCATTTAAATGCTTTTGTTGGGATTCCGTTTGGCCCTGATGCTCTTCCACAGTTTTGCATTATTTTTGCTTTCCATATTTCTGTTCTCACCTGAGGCTGGATGTTCACCGATAGTTCTGCTTCAGCTGTTGATATTCTTGCGCGCATTGCAGGTGGCGGTCGATTAGGAAGTCATGAGAAGAATCCAGCTCAGTGTTTCCTTTCCTCCACCTCTTTGGCGATTAATCATACGATATTCAGCATGGCATTCGCGTGAAGAGACGTACGAGTATGCGAAAGATTTTATTTAGTAACTGAATCGCGAAATCCCCTTCAACTCGCTCCATGATTCTTCATAGGTTTTCATCACCTCTTTCAACACTCACGCTCATGCACCAATCGATGAAAACGTGGCACTCGCTTCAATCTGCAGTCTCCACTGCATGAATCCAATTCATCTTCTTTCCATTGTGTATATTCGCTTGGTGACATGTTCTCCTCTCTCTGATAGATATTCACTTCTGTGCACGATAAACACCACTACTATTGATGCCTAATCTACAGCTAACTACACCAATGATTCTGATTGTAGAAATGTAACTCTATTGAATATATAATCCAATATTGAACATTAGATCTATCAAAACTGATTGTTATGTGTATTGCTGATTTCATTCTTATCTTTATTTTCCTCCCTTTTTCTACAGAGACTGTAAAAAGTGGCATATGCCTCCATACGAAAAGAAAATACCAGGAGACCTAATTCAGTTCATAGATTAAAAAAGAATGATAAGTGCAACACTCGATTGAATTTGCAAAGAAAATGGCAAAATAACACTCCTCACTCAATGCATCACTGAACAGTTGCTTCAACTGTGCTCATTCAAATGTTTGTAAGAACGTACATGCCTCATTTTCTGAGTGCTCAGTATTCTTCTTTCTCTTTCTGTAGATTAGATCTTTTCGAATAAATGCATATTCAAAAACTCCTTTCGTCCTAAAATCCCATGATATTTGTGCTTCTAAGTGGATTTAGTCACTGAATGATGGATTTCAGCGCTGAATGAGTAATTCATGGCAAAATAATTCTCTTGACTCATTGGATAACTGAGAAATGGCTTCAACTGTGCCTACATGTTGATGAAACTGGATACGCTTTTAGGTTGAAATTACTGAGCTCCTTGAAATTTATTCAGTTAATACAGATCGGTCGTCAGTGTAATTGTTCCTCGTCGGTTTTGTGGTTATCTCCTCAGATTGCGACTCGTCCTTGTTTAATTAAAGTCGCGTCTCCACTGTCAGTTTCCAAAAATCAATCCCCCGTCTCTAAGTCGATGCCTGTTTCTGGGTCTGAATCTGGGCCAGTGAGTAACGAATAGCATTTCAGGCAATCCACTTCACAATTTCATCAACAATTGAAACCCAACGGAACGATGATAATAGTAACCAGAAAAGGCATCATTTGCAGAGGATGAGACTTGAATATTCGACACGCAGTTAGTGAAAACGCAAGGTACAGCTCATATGGATGAAAAGGGTGAGACCGGAAGTTCACTCCTTATATATTTCGTAGGCTGACGTTCTTGACTGAATGAAGAAAACTGACAAATTGTACCTCAATAGCTTTTGCTTCACTAGTCAATATGCCTCCACCAGCCACTTGGATGTCTGTATGATGTGATTAATATGCAATATCAAGTATCGAATGGAGTTAAACATCTTGCTACCCATGTCCATAAACACTCGGAGAGTGTCTTGCATGGCGGACGGAATTCTACACGGGTTATCTAGCGATGAATGAATACCACTGGAGATGCATGCCACTTTTGTCACTCGAAAGGGAATAGATGATTTCATTACGAAGTTAAATAAAAGTCTAAAGACGACAACTAAGGAAACAGATTTCAATTGTCGCTCACAAAATATATGTGTGCAGTTATTCCATTGGGTCACTACTACGAACTCAGTTGCGAATCTCACCACTTAAGGACCGAATTTTAGAGATTTAACGTCAACAGTTGATCAGGCTATTGCAGGCTGTGAACTCAAAAATCTAATTCAGCAGACAGCGGATCTATATGCTGTCTCATATCTCCATTGGATAGGCACGAACTTCCCAACTCGTAATCATTTTTGTCTAGACAACATCTTAATTAGTGGAATCAGTCAATGAAGAGGGAATATTCAGTGATGGCTCACTTGACTAACATTTCTAGCGAAGCACTTCTTAACAAATTCATCAGTCTTTATTGAACGGACTCTCATCACTTCCGTGTAATATCAACATTCCTCGCCTAGCAGACTTATCAAAAAAAATCTAACAATGAATAAACGGGGCTACGAAATGACAAAGATAATAACCACAGAATTCATTAACTGACTTCATCTATGCGATCTTACAATTTCACACGAATGCAGAGTTGGCCTAATATGTGCTAACTTGTGGTTCTTATCTACACGACACTAGGCATTTGACTTACAAACGGGCTGGTCTCGATGCTAGGGCCAATCAAGGACAATTTCAGGACACAATCTCTGCAACATACGCACAAATATGATGTGAATCGAAAACGAGAATGTGAAACCATCTGAAACGTTAATTCCAACTTATACACCATGTATGCTGAAAAGCCACTAACTCACTTGAGACTGAAAAATATTTTGCAAGACTATTTATACCACTAACACATGACACTATTTCTTTCATTGGTTACTTCAACTAACCAATCAGAATTTGACTGAATCTGTTTGATAATGTTTGTTTAATGAACAACAATTCAGCTGTAATTAGATTTTAACGGATTGGAGAAAAGTGAAGATATTCAGAAACATACGTTAAAAAATGTATTTCATACCGGCATATCGATTAATTCACATCAACTAAATATTGCAAGAAGACGTTTCGTGGATGGTAACTAACCAAAGAATTGACCATGTGCTTGATGGACTTTCCTCAACAGTTGGTAGCTGTCGTGGCCTAGTTTCTCTATTGGATAACGCATTCAGACTTCATACTGTTGGGTTCAATGAAGCTTGTAGATACACTCGATATGATGACTGACATGAGGAACTTGGTGATGGGATGCCTTTCAGTTGTCTTCAGTTAGCTAAAATCACAAAAAACTGTCTGTCTTAAACTGGACATGTTTAAACAGAAACAACATGGATCATAGTCAGTGTAACGTGAATTTTACCCCCATCGGAGTATTCATCATTTCAGTAATAACTTCTCTGGATCACAGGTATATAAAAATACTACATGAATAGGACACCGATTTAGTGTTCACAGCAGTTTTCAATTTAGGGAGAAGAGAGTCGTGACAAGGGGTTGCTCCGTAGAATTCTTTTTATTCCCCAACACAGATGGTAAGTAATAGTTGTAATGATGATAAAAAAAGCGAAGTAGGCTATTCGGACTGGAGGAGTTTTGGGAATTGAGATTTGAAGTCCTACAGATTCACGACAATTGAGATGAATACTGAAACATTCTTCACGACGGTACAGAAAATAGTTAACTTATGCAAACACGGATAGAGTGTAGTGGTAACCAATACAAAGATTTACTCGAAAACTAAAAACGCTACCTCGATTTGCAGAATAAGAAAATGTGATACAAAGTCGGTTCTTTTTTTTCATCTGAAGTGACGGAAAGAACCACGTCTGTAGGGAATTCACCTGTGTATTGCTGAATGCTAACTAAAATCAAAGTACATTCACACGACTGTCTGCTTTTCCGATTTAATTTGTTTCATATGCAAATGTGATCCTTATTCTACAGATATACAGAGTATTTCTCGGGAATGACTATGCTTGTGAGCAGTGCTACTTCATGAAGTGCATCAATCACGCTGACCAGATAAATGAAGAGTCCCAAACTAGGAAGAAACAGCTTTCCAGTTCTCCCAGGTTTTGCAACGGTTTCCTAACTGATGTCAGCTCATGGTGAAGTTCCCCATGCAATCAAACAAAATCCCTACAAAACCAATACTTGAAAATTAATCTGTGCTCACTAGTGACTGGCCCTTTTCAGGCTGTTAACCTGGGGCTCTAGTGAGAAGCCGTGACCAACAGGGTGCAGCAGGTTGAAGATGAGGCAATAACTCATCGAAGAAGACATTGCGAAGTGGTCGCGCTGTGTTGTGAATTCGCAGAAATTGAGAATCAAGGACCACTAGATCGGATCCCAGTGGCTCAATGGTCTACGAGCTCGCCTTGTAACCAGAAGGTTCTTCGGTCGAACCCTGGCGGGTGCGTACCGCTGAAGAATCCCAAATTAGGATGAAACAGCTGTCTAGTAATCCCAGGTTTTCCAGTGGTTCTCTAACTAATGTCAGCTTATGGTGAAATCCCCGATGCAATCAAACAAAATCCCTACAAAACCAATACTTGTAAATGATAATTGTTGAGAGAATGGAATTTTGTGTAGTGAATATCTATATACATTCATTTTGTATTTTCAGAGGATTTATTGAGAATGAAGTCATTCTTAAAAAATCGAAACCTACATGGATGAAGTTTAATAGATGCAATGAAATAATCAGTCATTTTTTCTATTCGAACGCTGGCTTTGGGTTTCAAGTCGTTCGATAAAAATTGGAGTGGTTGCTCAAAGCTACCCTCAGCCGTTTTCACTTTCGATGTTAAAACTCAATAGATTCTGTTGTTCATTTTCATTCTGAGTTGAAAATTTGAATTCGACAACGAGTCTATATTTTCTTAGCTTTTCAGTGGTTCCTTTTCATCTCGCCCCACATTTGAAAGTATTTGCGTTGCAAGGACACACGACTTTCACCCAAAAATGTGTATTCACTCCCCACCAACATTGATGACACTGTGAGTTTCAAATGGAGAGTTTGTAGCATTGATATACGTCAGAGAATCTCTTGGGAAATAAAACGAATATACATATATAGCATGACCTGCTGGTAGTACCACCGCCAGCTCAATGCTTGTCATTCAACTAAAGAAGAGACCAAAACCATACTCAGTCAGCTGGTAGGAATCCATGGAATTGAATTTCTCAGACAGCAGGACACTGGACAGTCGCAAGGCAAAATTTCGTTTTTCGATTATCATGTGAATTGAAATGCCTCAGAGTACAATAGTTTTGTATCATTTCGTTTGATAAATTAAGTTTAATATAATTGTTCGAATAGTAATGGATGAGTAGACTTCACAACGCTGTCATCTATTTTCGCTTCTGGTGGTTCCAGATATGGGGAAAGAATTTCAATATGTGCAGTAAAGTGGGTGACTGCACTAGGCAGTAACAAACTATCGTACAGATAACAGACCCTAATTGTTTCCAAGGGAGCAAACTAACTTCTGAAACGCTCTCACAATCTGACAGAGTATCTAGGATTTTTAGTTTCTATAGTGTGTATTGAGGATTTGACATTGTCAACCTGAACGAAGGACATTCTTTGCAATAATTTCCCTTGAGGTCCTTAAATTTAAACATATAATAATAATTTTGGTCGTTACAATGAAGGTCAGTTATGCGGCGGATACATTTTTAACGTAGAATAACAGATTAGTTATTGGGTGTCAAAATAATCATATTTGTATGACAAACGTGCTAGGCTGAAATCGATTAGAAAATATTGTAAAACAGGAGATAATGATGGTGATTAATCATAATAGAATTGTAGAGAGTGGGGTAGGAAAATTGACAAATCAATTCAGAGTTATAAAAGGTATCAGGTGGGGGAGTGGCTAGTACAAAGTGGTCTGAGTTAAACAGGAGATAGTAAGACTGGAATGAGAGGTTCATAGTGAGATAACAAATATGTTAAATGAAACAGGTGGAGGCATGTATTGAGAAAACAGATAATATCACTAATAATAAGTCCGTATAAATGAAAAATTCGATAGCAAATACATGTAATAGAAATGACTCATCACCTGTCCCTGATAGCTGGAAAATTATACTACCCCTACGACAAATAGGAGAAGACAAAGAAAACTATAAAAATCAGGTTTCAAA